CCAAGACTTGGACAAAACTGCCAAGAACACTGCCCAATCGACGGAGCAGTCTACTGGGCGTAGGCCCATCGATGCCCCATCGACTAAGGCCGTCGTTCCATACTTGGTGGGAGGTCCATCCCTCCCTTGAACAAGACTTTTATGCCATCGATGACCAGCAGCATGGGCCGTCGACTCATCGACGCCCAGTAGCTTGGGTCGTCGATTGGCCACTTCCAAATGCTGTAAGTTTGCTGCCTTCGATTGGGGTGTTTGGTAAATTCACCCCAAGTCTTTTATGACCCTAATACATCATATTTAGGGTTTATTAGGTATATTAAAGTGTTCTGAACCCTAAGACCTCATTTTAGACCCCTCTTCCTTAACCCAAAACCCCTCTCTCTTAGAATTCTCTCTCAAGTCTCCATGGAAGCTAGAAGTCAAGAAGTTGTAGGAGGGATGTTGGTGGTAGTTTATCCATTAAAAACTTTGGTATTTATTAAATGGGATGTATAGTTTCCATCCTTGAACTCTCTTCCATTCAAGGAGTTCCTTCTAATGAATTTTCAAAATGAGTTCTCAACCCTAGTTTCTTCTATCTTCAAATCTAAATATGGGTCTTGCATGAAAATATTTGTAATGAATTAATAATGGTATTTCTAATGTTAGTTGATGATTTTAAGGTTAAAACTTCAATAAAATCATGTTAAATCTTTTCATCTAATGTTGGCCTAAGAAATGGGTTAAATGAGCATGATTTGGTAGTCTTTGAGCTTTGGTTTCTTATTGTTGTTATGGTTGTTTAGGTACTGCCCAGAGGGCTTTATTATGATGAAATATTGAGAAAAAGGTTATAGGTGATGAAATCTTGGTTTAAAGGGTAAGTTGGTTATCTTGTTTAGTTTCAATTTTGAAATGCTCTTGAGTGGTATGATCCACCTTCTTGGTGGCGGTGTTTATTTGAATTGTATGAACGTAAAGTTACTAGTTTATTGTGAATGAGACTATTAAAGCTTGTTTTGTGAAGTAATATGATAAATATGCTATTCTTGTTTCCCTCTCTCCTCTCTCGTATATCTCCCTCACCACTCTCTCTAATCTCGCTCGCCATCATCACCTCTCTCACTTATACAAACAGAAACGAAATGTATAAATTGCATTTTTGTTTGTATATAACGAGAGAAAATTATATATACACATGTAAATACATATATTTCGTCTTATACACTTATAATTATACAATAGGAATACTCCCCTGCCAGTCTCTTTTGCCTTTCTCTCTTTCTCGTTTTATACAAATTCAAATTTTAAATAACTTCTCTATTTATCGTTTTATACAATTCAATTCAATTGTATATTCCCTGCCCAGGTCTCTATTGCCTTTTTCTCTTTCTCATCTTTTACAAATTCAAATTGTATATAATCGTTCTATACACTTATAATTATACAATTCGTTTTACACACTTCGTTTTATACAATTCTCTGCCCAAGTCTCTTTCTCTTTCTTGTTTTATACACTTCATTTTATAAAAATCACTTCAATTGTATACGTATAGCGAGTTATACATTTCTATGTTTGCTATGGAGTGCAGTTATGCAAACTTTGCTATAACATACAAATATCAATTTTATGTTTGCTATATGTGAAAATTGCCCTTTATTTAATTATACAATTAACATTATTTACAAATATCGTTTAACTTAGTACATATCCACTTTCAATAAATAACTCATATGTACACTATTCCAGTTTCTTTCAATTTTTTATTTCAATCTAAACAATTTGAAATTAATGAGAGACGTATGGGCTACTAATTTAGACGATATCTTTAAATAATTTAAAGATAAAAATAACATTTAACGAGCTAATTTGGTATCTTATTTAATTATTTAATAATTTAAATAATATTTTCTTTTATTTTTGAAAATTTAGTTTTAAATAAAAATTTCATGTCAATAAATTCTTTTGGAAAAATCAATTAAAAAATATATTTTTTAAATATAAATAAATAAAATTTTAAAATTTTTTATCAGTCCCTATCAGTTGTAACCCCAAAAAAAATTTAATTTCTTTTTTTTCAGAAAAAATCAAATTATTTCCCTTGCCCCATCCTAACCTCCTTTCCCATACCTTTTGTTTCTCACCCGCTGTTTGGAGCTTACATTGAAGCTCTGACTAAATCCAAATCTCGTACTGCAGGGCCCATTCGGGGGTGGCGCTCCCAACATAATTTTCTCCTTACCAAGACTTGAACCCTAGACCTCCAAAAAAACTTAATTAGTTTTTCTTTCTTTTGTGAATAAACTTTTGTTACCCATTAAACTATCTTTTTTAAAATGAATAATGTATATTTATTCAATTTTAGTCCATCCTAAACAGGTTAAATACCTAATTCATGTTAGAATTTTGCCATAATTTTCTTATCTTTTTTAAAGTATAATTTTTTTTCTAAAAGAACAGACAATAACATCCGCAATATAGTTGTTTAAGAGTTTAGTTTATGGGGAGATATATTCTTTCATCAGTTTTATTATTATTTTTATATTAATTTTCATATAATAACATTATGTTTTTTGTATATGTTTTTTTAATTCTAATTTATTATCATATTATTTGCAATTGTAAACTTTCGTTATGATGCCCTAATCACTTTTGAACCCAACAAGTGGTATCAGAGACATGGTTCAATGATCAAATGGTTGAACAAGATTGAAGACATGTTCAAGTGGTTTCAAATAAATCTGCAATCAACGTGATGATAATGAAGATTTTTGTGATACTATATATGGAGAAAATTTTCAAATTGTATTTTCAACAATATCTAGTTGCTTCATCCTTGAAAACAAAATCAATTTTCAACTCATGTTTTAGAGTATGAGCTCCAACTTTCAACCCCTTTAAATTTTAATGTTCGTATTCCACATTTAATTAACTCATGTATCTCTACTTTTAAGGCATGAGCTCCACTTTTAAGTCATTCATCTTATTTAAACACATGAACCCCTCTTTCAACTCATGTATATTATTTTTAATGCATGAGCACCACTTTCAACCCTGCTAATAACTTTTAACACATGACTCCATCTTTAACTCATATCAATTTTTAAATCATGATAAGCAACAATAATACATGAAAAAATTGTGAAGAACGAGATTATCAAGCATATGAAGCAGATGAATTAAGGTTTGTTAAGAAAATCCAGCAAAATGGGGAGATCTGTTAGAGTTGTGAAGAAGAAGATTATAAAGCATATGAGAAGGAAGATCAAGGTTTGTCAAGAAAATCCAGCAAAAAGGGGAGATTTATTAGTGTTTCGTCCTGGTTTTCTTACCTTATTTGAAGTTTATATTTCTAAAAGAAAAAAGACAATAACATCCATAATGTAGACGTTTAATAATTTAGTTTATGGGGAGATTTATTCTCTTATCAATTATAATATTTTTCTTTTATATTAGTTTCCATATAATACTATTATATTTTTAGTATAAGTTTTTGATCATCTAATTTATTATTATATGATTTACAATCATGCACGGAATAAGATAAATGCAAGAAGATTTCAACAAAAGAAAATAAATAATAAAGGAGGATAGTGTTGGGTTTTAAAGGCGTGAATACGAAATGAAGGGTTGTGACACTCCTAAAGGGTTGTGACTATGCCTAAAGGGTATGACCTTTTTATGAAAGGTTGTGTCCTTTCTAAAGGGTTGTGACCATTTGAAAGGTTTGAGACTTTTTCAAAGTGTTGTGACATTTCTGAAATTTTGTCTTCTTTCCAAAGAGTTGCACCATTACCCTTTGTTGGTTATAATAAAGAGGGTTTCTCTCATTTTTATGCACTTAATTCTTCCCTTCTCTTGCATACATTTCTTATAAAACTAAATCGATCGATTGTGTCTGTGTGTGTGATTCGTTGTTGTCATTTTGAGTTCGTTTAAATTATTAAAGTCTGAGGTACCGCTACATCTTTAATGATTAATCCGTTTTATCTTGGGAGGAATTAATATGTAATCTCGAGTACTTGAGGGGATTAAATTTCTTAAGGACACATAGTAAATTTTGTGGACTCGGATAGTTATTTATTTTTCTTTTCATCTTTTATTATTTCTAGTTTGTTAATCTAAATACAAGAGATACCAAGCTTAAGAAATTTAACCTTAGTGGTATCTTCTGTGGAGAGAAAATTACTTCTATTTTTTGTGGAGAAAATAAAAGAAGAAAAAGAGAATTATTTTATCATATAATAAAAGAGATATGGGATGAATTATTCTACTTTAATGTGATCGAGTATATTTTGTGTGGTAAGTTTTCCTTGGATAAGTATAATTTTTTTTATTTTCTTCCCAAGTGCATTCGAGCATTTGCACAATTTTCTTTTCTATGAGAAATTGTTCATAAAGGCTAATATGGGCACTTTAATTATTTTTCCTACATTCTTAGTTTTATATAACTATGAGAAGAAGTAAATGAACATATATTGTCTCCTAGCAATATTTGAACATGGGTTTAGTTTCTTGTTGAAACTAAATGTCTTCTTGAAGAACATAGCAATATAATGGAAATGATGAAAGGAAAAAAAATAACAGGAGAAATGACTTGCATGGAATCATTGATGACAAATAGAATATGATTCAATGAACACTACAAAAAAACACGCGCATTAACCGCACTCAAAACTGTGGCTAAATGGTACGTAAACCGTGGCTAATACACTTTGGCCACAGTTTGTTGGCCATGGTTCGTAGCGTGCCTATAACAGGCATCGCGAGTAATTTTTCCACGGTTTTCACCCCCGTGGTAACAATTATTTAGCCACGCTTTGTTCGTAGGTAAAGTTGTTTGACTGAAAAATAAATTATGCTTATAATTTCTAATTAGCCATGTCGAAATCGTGACTAATAAAATGTAGGTAGCTTGCATGTTTTTCAAATAAGATTAGACACGGTTGAACCGTGGCAAATGTGTATAATATTTTTTTTTAAAGATGCAATTAAATGAACTATTACAAATACACTGATAAATACACAAAAATTACTTTAATATCTATTCATCATAAATATCAAAACAAATGTGAGTTTCATTAATAAAGATAGCAAAAGTACTGCTGGTGTAATCAAAATGCAAAAGGTTGAAGCAACAATATAAACTAAGGAGAATCTATATTGAAACTAGGCAATTCATTACCAAATTCGACTTGTAAAAATCTATGAAGAGTTTCCAAGTGATTCTCTTTTTTTGCAAGTCGTTTCTTGGATTCCTCAAGCTTTTTCTTAGTCTCTTCATATCCAGTCAGTTTCTCTTCCAAAGTTTTCACATGTTTCTGTAGCTCTTCAACACGTTGATGAGGCGTATTACCGAGACTATCGACATTTTCATGTCTAATTGAATGTCTAGGCATCCCAAAAACAACAGAAAAACAAATATTACCACCTATACCACGCACACGACCAGAATGTTCAACTCCATACACTTTTCCAATGGCATCATTGGATGAACCAATATCTTCAACGGAACACCTAATGTAGCACCTTGTTCTTGATCTTCAAGTAGATGCTCCGATATTTTATCCTACAAATAAAATAAAAGACATGAGAGAGACTTACTAACATTGTTTTTAATGAATTGATAATCAACTCATAAGCAAGTATGGCAATGGGTCTGGATGATTCTATATGACAAATTTTCCAGGAAACTATTGTGTTTAGCATATCTAAATAGGAGTTGGACTTATTTGTGTTTAGGTTTTCCTACTATTATTTTCTACATCTATACCAAAGGAAATTGGAGGACTCAAAAGGTTGTCAATCGATCATATATTGATCCCACATAGTGATATTAGGTGTAGCAATAAGCATATGTTGGTGTCACACACTTCAAAAGTGGAATGAGCAATGAAAAAGACTATTGTGTACTAAAAAGATGCAGATAATTAAGGCAAAAAAATTTCTATACGTACATGGTACTGCTAAGATTCAGTAACATGTTGCTATACCATAAATTTAGACATCTAATAAAATATAAAATGAAACTATCAAATAGTTTTAGTCCAAGTCTGTAACAAAAATAGACGAGTATTTGAAACTTACATCTAAAATCTTTCCTTCTTCATTCACATAATTACCATTCTTTTTCTGTAAAGTTGACAATAGAACTTCACTTCGGCACATAGGCATTCCCAATTTTTGCTCCTATTATTAATCAAGTAAAGATAAAAATAAGTAACTAGAAACACATTTTATTTTGTATAATAGTGTGATTCTCAAATAAACTTCAACGTAAAGAAGCCTACAATTTGACGACCTCTCTTGCATTACTTTTGCTACCACCGGCATGCGAGACTTTAAATTTTGTTCTATTCTACGTATTTTGTGAACTTTGTGTCTGCACCAATTAAACATTGGTTTCAAATACATAGACGCAAAGTAGCAATACTTGTATGTTAAAGTAGAGATAGATTACAATAACAATTTGTGAAGCGTAATAGCTATTTAAAAGTATTAGCGATAGATTGCAGTAACAAACATGTCAAAATGCAGACATAGTTTGAGCCCAAATGCAGAAACAATTTGCTCAAAGAGATGCAACAATTTTTCTCAAAATGTAACAACAACTTCACTCAAATCCCCCCCGCCCCATAAAAAAAAGAAGAGTTGCAGTACTTCTGCTCAATATGTGACAACAATTTCATTCGAATTTGACCAAAAAATAAGTGTTATATCAAGGCTAACGGAACCAACTAAGAGAGACATTACTAATATGTAGCTATGCCCACCTCATACTGCTGGGTATGTAGCAAGAATTAACGGAAAATAGAGGGAAGGAGAGGAATTTGAAAAGTTGAGAACTTGAAGAGTTGGGAAATTGAAAAGTCCTCTTATGCTTTAATGAAAAAGCAATTGTCCCTCATCGGTAATGAAAAAAAAATAGGAGTGTTTAAATACATAAAAACTCCTATTAATTGTTAAAAGGGTTGGAAAGAGGGACCCTCCTCGCGCCGTCGTCGTCGCTCGCTTCGGCTTCGGCAAATGATCGATCGAGAGATTATTTTTTGGACAAAATTTGTTTTAATTATTTATTTAATTTATTAAATGGCCAAAAAATATTTTCAATTAATTAGTTGATAACAGAATTTAAACGAAATGTTTTCAACTTTTTAGTAAACCCGACCCGACTCGGATCCGCACGCGTGACCTGTTTTATTTTCCGTTTTATTTAAATTTCCCGCCATGACTGTTCTGAAAGGTTGCAACATTCAGGAACAGTCAATACCATTTGAAAGGTTGCAAACTTTCATTAATGGTCGTGTTAATTCTGAAAGTGTTGCAACCTTTCAGAACATATTCTTCTTGCCTATAAATAGCACTCAGTCTTCAGAATATTTTTCAACGAATTTTATGATCTTCCTTCTTCTTCTAAACACATTTTTCTTCGTGTACTTTCCTGCTGAGGATTGATTCGCTGACAGTAGAGTTTTTGGTATCTACATTCTACTGAATAAGATCATTTTACCCTGGGAGGTTATATTCCAAATCAAACCTCGGATACTAGAGGGGAATAATTTCCTTAAGGGAACACTGTGAGTTCAGTGGACTTGATCTTCTTCCAAATTAAAAGATTGTTTCAGATTCTGGTACGTTCGTTTTAAGTATTTTGTGAAATAAATTTCTGTTTATCTTGCTTACTGATTCTATAAATTTCCCTTACTTCGTGTTTCTGAATAATTTATTACAATCAATAATTTCTGATTTTGATAACACAGATTGGTTAACACATACACAAAAGATCATAATTATGGTAGTGAGATACAACTAAATGAGTCACAAGCTTATACAACACAAGACTGCCCCACAAATTGCAAAGATATACAATAACAACCATAAAAAGCTTGTATTTACTTGATTTGATATCCACATTACTATATAAGAGTAATTACTGATGTTAGCAAGTAGTTACGAGAAAACAGATAAGTCATAACACTTGCAATTACCAATTTCACTAACACAACAAACTGAAAAAAGAAAAACAATGAAAACAAAAGAAAGTAGAGAATCTAGTTCAGTAGTTCAGAAGACCACCGAGACCCCTACACAAAAGAGACCTTGCTCCATACAACAATGAAAACTTGAAAAATAGACCAACCTTCATTCCAGGTAAAAACAATCCATAACAAAACAATCCATATAAAAATCCCAGATTTTAAAACAAATAATCCATAGAACTCTGAAAATCTCCTAATCTATAAATCTAAGAAAAATCCATACAATTGCAAAATATATGAGAACATTCTCATAACTCACCTGATCAAAGTGGATAAAATAGAGTAAATCGTAATCGAAATTTGTATGCCATCCTTAATCGCACTCGAGAAAATTGAAGAAAATCACAAAAAATAATGATAAAACAACCGGGATTCGTACCTGATGCGAAGAAATTATTTTTCCTAAAGAGACATGCTGCTGCAATTGTTTTTGGAGAAGATGAACCAGTCGATTCTAATATTTTAGGGCTAAGTAGAGGACTGCGGAGACGTGCTGCTGCTATTCTTTTCTTCTTTTTATTTTTGGTAAAAAAAAATTTTTTATGAAATTAATGGGGGGAATGGAAAAAAGTGAGGGAGAATATACCGCATGATTTCGCCAAAATATTTTAGCCACAATTCTTAATATGTGGAGAAAATTTTATTTTTCTGTTAATTTAGCTACGATTTATTCGATCGTGGCTAAATAGCATTTTTTTGGTAGTGGAGAGTAAAAATAAAGTTCTATCTTTATTTTCCTTGATTATTTTTTATCCTTTATAAGTTATGAGATTTATTCATAGAAGTTAGTATAGATGGTCATTATTTGATGTCTCACAATATGTTTTTACTATTAGTAATATGTAGTATTGTTTTGAGGAGGAAAATTAAACTTTTTTAGTTTTTTACATGTGAAATTTGATTGTGTTTGACTTTTGGACACTAAAATCTTCTGACTTTTTTACTCCTTCGATTTGAAGAATATAAGAACACTGCATTGGTTTGAAGAATATAGAAACTTCACCAATTTATTAAATAATTTGTTTAAATAAATATTCTAACTTGAACAGTACATAATCTTCGTCAGGAATATTAAGGCTAAATGATTTGAAAGAGATAAAATCTTCCTCTTTAGATAGAAACAATGTTGTATTTAAGGATTCTGAAGATTAAAACTTTTTTGATTTACTACTATGTCTCAATGTGAAACTGATTAGAAGAATATTAAAAGTTCATCAGAATTCAAGGTTCATTCAATTACAATTAGAAGAATATAAAAACATCATCGTTAAACTAGAGAAAAGTTGTATAAAGATTGAATCTTTATTGTTAATATTCTAAATACTACGTGACCTGTCTTGTTGTGACAGAAAGTGAAAAAAACACTAGTAAAATAAAATTAATGTTTTTTGTGTCTGCAATGGGTGTCTCTATGGATTAAATCTCCAAAAGAAGGCTACATGTTTTCAATGTAAGATTTTGATGATACATAATTTGAAAGCAAGGAAAAAATATTTGGAAATAATTTCAAATACTTGAAAAATATTTTTGAGAACATATTAGTAACATAATATTAGTGATTTTTGTGTCTGCAATGGATGTTTCTATGGATTAAATCTCCAAAAGAAGGTTTCGTGTTGCCAATGTAAGATTTTAATGATGCATAATTTGAAAGCATGGAAAAAAAATATGTGAAAATAATTTCAAATACTTGAAAAATATTTTTGAGAACATATTTAAAATATGGGGGGCTCTTTACTTGTGATAAAGACAAAATTAAACTTACTATCTAATTTAAATTTAAAAGTACAAGACATGAAATCAAATGACATACTTATATTATGTTAGACCCACAAAATTCTTGAAGTATATTTGATATTGTGGTCATTGAGTCTCTCTTTACTAGTATATGATATGACTAGTATAAAATCACAAAATTATATTACTCGTTCAAAGAATTATATTCTTTGATAAAAAAATGTCACTTAATATATTGTGATTTTTTTATGAAAAGATATGTCTATTTGTATCGACATGAACACTGGTGAAAAATGATATGTTATGTTTGTGTTGTAAAAGAAACAGTTGGTTCATATTGTCCTTATTGAACCGAAGATACTATGGTCATGGGTAATTTTATAACAAATTGAATGTTATGGGGAGGTCCTTTTGCAAAGAACATCTGACAAGGTACTAACTCTAAAACAGTGTCTGTATTTTATAAAGATATAAAAAGTAAAGAATAAAATATTTGTAGAAAAAAATTACCTCATAGAGGTCTTTTCAAACCCATTATTATTGTTTGTTCTTTCTTATTTGAATTAAATTGTTTGTAACATAAATGCTTTGGACATGTAAATTATAAAAATCTTACAAAAATTGATCAACTTAAAAATTTGGCCTAAGTTCTAGTAAAATAAACTAAAATAGCAAATATATGTTGAATCTAAGTATGTTAAGAATACTTATAAATTTGCGGAAAGAAATTTTAATCCTTTAGAATTGATTTACATTGATACTTGTTGGAGTGAACATCATCTTTTGGTGGAAAAAAGTGTTTCACAAATTTTATTGATAATTGCACTACATAGTCTTTTGTCTATTGTCTATAATGGTAAGGATAAAACAATGGAACATATAAACACTACAAACTAAAGTTGAAAATCAGTTGGATAAAAAATTGTCATGAATTAAAGTGGTAGAAGTGGATAATATGAATCTTCTTTTGAATATATTTATTTGAAAAAGGAAGCATCCATCAAATTCTTGCATATACTCACCTAAATTTAATGAAATTATTGATAGGATAAAACTAAATTTTGAAAGAAATGTTGAATGTCATAATTATAAGTTCAATTTTACCACAAAATTTGTGTGGATGCTATCATTATAGCAAAAGAGAACAACAAAAAGTTTGTCTGTTCAAACAGAGAGGAACTAAAGTTTTATTTATTAGTAAAAAGAGCAATAAGTTAAAAAAATTGTTTTTAAAAAATTGAGTAACAAAATTTTTTATTTGTTCACGCTTTGTTGTATCCTGATAGAGAACTGCATATTTCACTTTAAAGTATATACAAGAAACAATTCTTGAAAGATAGTGATTTAACAATTTCCAATACAGTCTATTTCATATGAGAAATGGAAATGAGGAAACTATTTCCAAACGGGTCAAAATAGGACCTTAGACTATCAATTGTATGTTCATTGGATATGCTACAAATAGTAAGACATGTCAATTTATGGTTCATATGTTCGAATCATCGGGTAGTTAAGTGAAGGGTCTAAATAACCTTGTAATGAACCAAAGGAGAATCTACTTAATAAAGAGATACAGAGGCGTAGTAAATATCAATGGACAAATTACTTCCTTCGACTTTAATTTTATAACATTTCTTCTTGATAATTAGTCTCATAAATTCGAAGAAGTTATGCCCATTGTGGAATTATTTTTTTTGAAAGATGCTGTCTCTAGTAACATAAATTCAATCTTGAGCAATCGAACTTGAGAGTTGATTGATCTTCCTCAAGAAAATAAAACTTTGGGATCAAAGTGGATCTCAGAAGGAAAAGAAATTTGATGAAACTATTGACAAATACAAAGCAAGACTTGTTATCATAGGCTTTAGACAATAAGAAAGTGTTGATTATTTTGACACATAATAGCCACTAACTAGGATTACGTCAATTCAGATGTTAATTGCACTAGTTGCGGTATATGACCTTTAAATTTTTCAAATAGGATGTGAAAACATTTTTTTAAAAAAAAATATGATTGGAGGAAGAAATTTACATGGAATAACCCAATGGATTTGTGGTTCCTTGTAAAGAAAAGAAAGTCTGTCAAATTGTTAAGTCACTTATAGACTAAAAACAAGCGCCTAAATAATGATATGCGAAGTTTGACCAATCTATGATGGTAAATGAATTCAAAATTAATGAATGTGATAAATATTTTTACATTGAAGGCACTCCAAATAAAAAGATCGTTGTTTGTTTTATGTTGATGACATATTTATCATCAAAAGAGACAATTCTGACATGGATGCTATTAAGCATATGCTAGAAAGTAACTTTGATATGAAAGATATTGAAATTACTGATGTGATTGAAAAGGTACTTGATAAGTTCAAGTATTTGAATTTCAATATTGTCAAGACTCTAGTAAATGTGAGCTTTGTACTTCAGCAGAATAAAGGCAAAAATGACTCGCATTTGAATTATGCTAGAGTATTGAGAAGTATGATATATATTTTGAAGTGTGCACGATCAGATATAGAATATGCTATTAGTAAATTGAGTTGGTTCACAAGTAATATCTATCAAACTCAGATGACAATGAAAAAGTTTTGGAGTATTTAAACATACTAAAACGGTTGTTTTGCATTATAACTAATATTCAACAATATTGAAAGAATGTAATGATGCAAATTGAATCACCAGGTCAAATGAAGTAAAATCCACAAGTGGATATGTATTTACTCCTTGTGGAAGAGCAATTTCTTGGAAATCTTCCAACTAGAAATGTATCGCTCCCTCTACTATGAAACCAGAGCTTATCACTCTATATAAGTCGGTGAAGAAGTTTAATTACTCCAAAATTTCTTGAAAGATTTTTGATCAAAATCCTTAGCTCCAATATGTAGACAAAGTGAGAGTTAATTTACAATAGGTAGGGCATGAAGCATGATATATAACGGAAAGTCTTGTCATATATGACGTAGACATTGTATTGTTATTAGAGAACTACTCTCTGGTGGAAAAGTATCATAATTGACTATGTAAAATAAAAGGATAATTTTTCAGATCAACTTTCAAAATAACTAACTAGAGAGGGAGTTTATAGATTATCAAAGGGAATGATACTATGACCGAGGACAAGTCATTTTGGTGATAAATCTACCTAGAATACTGGAGATCCCAAGATCAAGGTTCAAGGAGATCAAACAAAGTCACTGGTGACGGTTCAACATTATCAAAATATTTTTTATGATCCATTCTCATGATACGACAATGTTCAATAACAAAGGTAAAGACATTAGGACTTTTTAATGGTTTCTAAGTTTGATACAAGGTATATCAAATTGTGTATCTACAGGATAACACATTTATAAATCACTTATCTAAGTTTGAAATGTAAACTACTTCAAGGAGAATCCGATAATACCAGTTCTCCATGCACTTATAAACCAAGACGTGTTCATGGCTGAAATGAACAAAATAATGAGAACCAAAAACAGTTGAAGGGTTGATTGTGTGACTTATCTTGTCTAGGTATACACCAAAACTCAATGGTTCAAAGATATCAAATTTATCAATTGCCCGATCATATCGGATGTATGCTCACTATGGATAGTTGAAAGGAAAATCCCACTTATCCAGATGTAATCAATCCTTACTTACGAATCACACAATTTTTCATGCATATGTTTTAACAATAGTTATTCCTATTCATGTGGGGAATTGTTGGGTTTTAAAGGTGTGAATAGGAAATAAAGGGTTGTGACTCTCCTGAAGGGTTGTGACTATTCCTAAGGATTGTGACCTTTATGAAAGGTTGTGTCCTTTCGAAAGGGTTGTGACCATTTGAAAGGTTGCAC